TTCCTAGGAGAGTGTGCACAAGTATTTTTGAAATGCCATCTGCACTGCTGTGGTTGCTGAATGTGAAAGACCTGCCATTCAAGACGATGTCTGCAGTCTTCTCCACAGCAATAGCATTTTCTGAGGTGCAATGCAGCAGCTGACGGTTTACCTTGCAACGCCCACTATTCACGCGTATTAGCCAGCACTTCTCGATGTCTGAGTAAAAGAAAGTGAGTGAAGTCCCCTCGTCGTGTATTTGCCACATTTTGAGAGAGGAGCAAATTGCCAATGCATCCTTGGCTGGGCTTTCCCCCGTTCCTAAGTGCGAAGTCGGTGTCATATGGGCTTGGGAAAATCGATATAAATTTTCAGATGCACCAAACCATGATTAAAGTGCAGACTGCGAAGCACAAATAAGACCCTTAAAAACGGTTGGGCTAGTCTGCTGCTTGAAAATGCGGATGGCTTGGCCCATCTACTGCTTGTAAGTCTGCTTGAGGACTGTGTCTCGTTGATGTCCGGGGCATCATTTATCTACGCTCCATTGGTGTTGATGCATTCTTGGCAATAAAACTTGGCATATCGTCAGTCTCAGCTGTGGTCTGATAGAGATAGTCTTTAGTATACACGCAACGGATCTACCAATAGCAACACTCATCTTCATCCAAATAGGAGGAGGACGACCGACTGAAACTCTTCTCGATGATATCTTAGTAACTGTAGAATTTATTGGCAGAATACACTCATGCATTGTCTTGTAATGATTAAATGACAGTCATACTTGTTCACTTGGCTTTATCTGGCTAATTATTTATTTTGCTACGCCCGCTTAAAATAAAAATCAATGGAACTATTAAATGAACTCACATCCATTCTGGACTTAGAAAGTCTGGAACATTGCTCTACTTTAGAAAAGAGATGTTAATAAGAATGCAAGGTTTATATTTTGATGTGTTTTAATATATACTGGCAACTTTAATCCTTGAAAAAATGATTGATGATATTTAAAACATAAATAAAAATCAAAATAATTTAGAATGTCCTGAGCTTATAAAATATCCCATTTACAAGATTCTAAATTCTTAATAGTAATGAAGATTATTTTTAATTAATATTGAAATGTTTAAATGTAACTCTAAAATTTCCGACGTTATCACTGATAAACATAACATACTTTTATTTAATATATACATTGATATTTATATAAAGGAATATTCCACTATATAATTAGATGAAGGATTGGGTAGAAACATTAAAGAAGTTAATGATGAATGATGAGCTTCGTATAAAAAATTCATCAAACAAGAAAGATACAAATTTTTCAATTCTATATATACAATTTGTTAACAAAATAGTTGGAGTTTATTGACAAATATAATTTTCTAGTAGTATAAGGATTTAAATTTATTAGTACCTATGCTAATATCCAATTCATTTTTAAAGCATGTCTAATGTTTTCATTTTAGTGATTATACTTATTAAAGAACACTACTATCTAATGATCATACTGATTTGCATATGGTATTCAAGATATCATTTTTTCATAGCTTGGATGTGAAAGAATTGAATTATTTTTTAAAGAATTTAGATGATTTGTAAGATATATATTTAAAACGTTAATAACTCTAATCGAAAACTCAAGTATTAAAGCATTATTCAAAACACTGTTTAATCAGTTAACTTCTCAATATTCAATCATGATGCTCAGAATTCTTTATATAATAGAATTTTTTAATTAAGAAGTATCTTCACTTCATATTGTTGTTCTTGCAATATTTGTTTTATATTAATCACATATACATATCAATATTTTAAATACTGTTAATTTTACTCGTATTTATTTATCATACGTTATAAATCCATTTTTATATGATTTTGAACGGTTTCTCTTATTGGTAAACCAATTATTAACTTGTTTCGTTGAAATCATGCACAAATTTGCTAAACGTAATTTTTCAGTATCAGTTGGATACTTATCTTTTCTAAAGCTAGATTCCAAAATTTCTATTATTTTTTTTGAAAACCGTTTTGCTTTTTTATGATTCAATGGATGTTGAAATCCACCTCCCCTTTGAGACAGAAAAGTTGAGAGTTCTTGTGCTATGTTATTTACAGCCAGTTCCCTAATATTCTCAATCTTTGTTGTAATAATATTTCTAAGATTTAAAGATATAGAAGGCTGGAATGGTACATTTGATTTTTGTAGTTCATTTTCCTTGGATTCAAGATTCTTTAGTATAGATTTGCAACAATTCAAATACATTTGTCTTATTCCGTTCATTTTTGATTGCAGTTCTTTCACAACCATCTGGAGTCATGCTGGGCAGAAAAAATTTCAAATATCACTTCAATTTTTCATTGTATAAAAAGCATCAACCAATTCTCAATCATGATCACTAAAAGAAATAAAACTAACTTGATAAAAATTATTGTAAATATAGCATCAAAATTTAATACAACCGCACATAAACAACAAAGACTTTTAATCACACACTTTGCATTCTGTTTCGAGCATTTTCATGATTATTTTTTAATAATCTTAATTAATTACTAATCACGATTTTTAGATGTTGTGCCATTGTTTGATTGATTTGACATGTAAAACGCGAAGCAAGTCATTAAATGCAGGTCATGTGAATCAAAACAATACAAGTTGTATAGAACACTCGGTTGAATATTAATGTATTATGCCACAATGGACAACACTAATTAAAATATAAAAATAAGATTAAATGAAAAATGCTATAGTTAAGAATATAATGAAATGATATCATGACTATAAAAGGCTTCTAAATTAACTTTACACTGGCTCATAAAATCAATTTATGTAGGAAAAATGAATATATCTTCTAAACTATAAAATATTCAAGAAATAAATGGGTAATCCGTTTCCCATTTGCTTTCAACATGTATTAATTTGGCATTTTGATACATTTCACTACCTAAGTTCCATTCTGCCTCTCTTTGCACATCACATCTTGGTTTCTTAAAAGTTTGCACCCTTGCATGAGAAACTCCTCAATTGTCGAGGCAGAGAGATATGCCAGCCAGCTGCTTCCTCTCAAGTCTGACATTTACAGAAACGGCAGCTCCTCCTACAGCAACTTTAAGATTCTTCTGCTCAACAAGGAAGTATCCGTTCCAAAGCTCCACACGCTCTCCTCAGGAGTACTTCCTGAGATCCAGGCATTCTGGTATGCGACCCAGGAGAATCTCTTCTTCAATCTGCACATATTCCGGTACGACCTCAACTCGGTCGAGGTGCTTCCCAGCTTCCCCAGCAGCATCTGCTTCGTGAAGGTCTACAGGCCCCCGAGGGGCGTCTTCAACTCAAAGATCCAGTGCTGTCTCCTTGTTGTCACTGAGACCGATGTTATCGTCTACGGCATCGAGGCCGACACCCACTGCATCATCAATACAGACTTTTCAGCCAAGCTGTATTCCAAGCCCGTCTGTGTTAAGCTTGCGAATGGCAATATCTTCCTTGGATGTGCCGACGGGAATGTGTACTGTGCATCGTGCAGGTCTGTTGACTTTCTGAACTACAAGTATCTGAGCCTGTATTCTCCGGGGCATCGCTTCTCAGGAGCCTCTCTTCGATCTTCTCCGGCAAAAAGGACAAGGTCTCCTGCATTTCGGTGGGCACGAAGTATCTGGTTTCTCTTTCGAAAGGCCTGGAGGTTTACAACATTGAGTATGGGATCTACAAGGTCTATGGAATTAAGCCAAACGCCTCTGTGAGCTATGTGGATGTCCAGATTGTTGAGGAGAACCCCATTCTCTTCTACTGTGTCCAGCCCTCTGGGAAGAGGGACTTCTACTCGACCGAGTATCTGTTCTTCAGGGATCCTGCAGTTGTGGAGAGCTCCGAGCAGGCCCGGATGGTGCACTCTACGCCATCGAAGTTTCTGTCTACACGGTCAGGCTCCGAAAGATCCACGCTTGTTCTGCACACCTTCAACGAAGACCAATACAAGAACTTCAGCAGAGGCAGGGCTGTTGAAAACTTCGAGATAGTGACGGTGTACAGCACAGTGCTTGGTGCGGAGCTGACGGACTCGGACCTGTACATACACACGCCCAATGGCATTATCCACTACACCATTCTTGACTCGAAGAGGCTCATGCTCAACTGCCGGACACAGGAGGTGTATCAGATGTACAGGAACTACGGCGATGTTGAGTTTATGGTCAGGTATTTCCAGCTGCTGACCGAGAATGAGGACGTGAGCAAGCTGGATGGGCTGTGCAGGAACGACAGCATTAGGAGCCATGCTCTTTTTGTGTGGATTTACACGCTAGTCAGGCCGGTGTGGCGGATGGATCTTAGCCAGCTGAAGGCCTCGGAGGAGTCCCTTGCACACGAGGCGGTCCTGGACGACGTCGTCAAGAAGTTGAAGATCCTGAAGCAGAGGATATCTCCTGGATACGACGCGGCCAGGGGTTTCATAGACGAGTTCGTCCAGACGTATTTTTATATTTCGCTCCTTCTAGACTACAACATTCCGTTCAAGGAGACGTTCGAGTCGATACTAACCCGAGACGGCGACTTCAAAACACTCTCGCTGAAGAGTCTTCTGGATGCATTTACCGCCAGCGAGTCGATTGAGCCGCTCCTGAAGACAATGCAGAATGGCTGCCCGATGTACTTGCCCCTGGAAAACATTAATCTGCAAAGAGGCCTGCAGCTGATCAGAAAGGACGACAGGGAGTCGCTTCTGAGGTCGCTGGGCTTTCTCTCGCAGGCAAAGTTTGATCACGGGGTAGTCCACAAGTTCAACGAGCTGCGGTTTTTCTACGGAAGTGTCTTCTTGATCCGTGAAAAGTTCGACTTTGACTATGAGACTGCAGTTTCGCTGTTTGCCGAGTCTGTGAAGTGCAAGAGGGCGCTTGAGCACGGGCTCGAGGATGCCAGAGAGGCCTTTCTCTATCCGTTCTTTGAATCGGTGCTCCGCCTTGAGGCCTTTCTGCCCTGTGTTTGCTGCGACTCAACGCCTGGCTCTGTTGATCTGCTGTCGATCAAGAATCCCATGTTCAGCATGTTTCTGAAGGATCAGATGCATAAGAACGAGAGGGCATGCAGCCTCTATTGGAAGTACCTGTTGGTGCGGAACGAGAAGGTTGAGGCTGTCCAGTCTCTGATCAATCTTTCCCAGCGAGCAGATCTGCCGCTGGCCAAAAAAGTAGACTTTCTGCAGACAGCGCTTTCGATCTCCACAGGCACGCTTCTGAACTCGGAGGTCAAGCTCCGTCTAAAGCTGTATGAAATCCAGGCCGAGCTTATGAGTAGAGTTCCGTCGCTCAGAACGCCTGTTCTCCTTGACTCAGACACGCTGTACAACGATTACTGCCAGGGACAGAATGACCTGAAGATTAAGATTCTTGATGCCATTGGCTTCCGAGACGAGAAGGTGCAGAAGGATCTCTTTGAGGCGTACTTCAGAGACTTGCCTCTGCGTGAGTGCTTTCTTTTTCTTGGCGAGCTGTCGAACAAAAGGCTGGGCGTGGTTTTCGACATTCTTGTGAAGAAGGTCAGGCCGTCGGAGATGGACTTCTGTGGTGGATTGGTCGTGGCCGGGTTTGAGTATGACGAGATTATTAGTTTTGTGAAGAGTTCTCTCAGCTCGAATGCCCACCCCGAAATTAAGGTTGAGCTGCTGAAAAGCCTAAAGGTTTTCTCAAAGTTTGGCGAGTACAAGGAGTGTGAGAGGCTGTGCGAGAAGGACTTTGGAATCAGGGTTTGCAAATGAGAGTCTGCTGATAGAGCACATGTTGGCGCAGGCCGCTAAATAATAAAGATTTGTTTTAAGTGCTTTTTGTTTGCTTGCTGCTAAGTGCCTCTGGAATGCTTGTGAGAAAAGGCGTAAAGCAGCTGCTGACAAAAGGCGAGGCTAGGGAGCTGCTGGAGAAAGCACCGGGTGTTTCGCAGAGGGTCAAGCACAGGATTGTGCAGTTCTGCTCCGATTCCTGCAGCGGAGAACAGGCAGGGTCGATGAAAGCCGAGCTGTCCAGATTTGGACTCACAGAATTTGAGATGGTCAACCTAATCGACACAAGGCCGAGCGGACTTGTGCATTTGCAGAGCATAGTTGAGGAGATGGCTGAAAGGCTCGATGGAGACCAGATGCAGAGTATCCTGGACGTGTTCGCAAGACACGCAGCATCGAAAAGTATATAAATTTGTTTTAGATAAACTTGTTTTTGCAGCTGTCTGGCTGGCATTTTTAATGACATTACACAAAATATATTCTGGAATGGATAATTTATTAAGGCACTACTGGGAAAGGCTCAGGACTCTGGTCAGCCCGTCCGATCCGCTCACTGCGACCATACTGCCGCTTTCGTCGAACCGGGCGATGTGGATCCTTTTTCCCACTGCCCTGATCCGGTCCACAATGTTCAGCTCATAGTCAAGACACAGCACATCGCCGTTGACTGTGCCGGCTATCAACATGTCAGCTTTTGGCGAAAAGCTAACCGTGGTCACTTCGTGCTCAAAACTCGACGTCCTCGCAATCGACCGGCTGCCAATGTTGTAGAGGATTACATTGCCGTCTCTGGAGCAGGTGGCAAGATACTTGCTGTCTCTGGAAAACCCGCAGTCCCAGACAATTCTCTCGTGCTTGGCAAAGCGATGGACTGTATTCAGCGTGTTGTTTGTAACTGCATATAGGCAGACCAGCTGGTCTCTCCCAACCGTCGCGACGAACGACTGGTCGGGCGATATTGCTATCTTTTGGATGTCCAGGTCGTGCTCCTCGATGTACTGGAGCTTGCTGCCCTGCAGGTCCCACACAAAAAGACCCGCAAACTTCCTGACTGCTGACTTGTTGCAGCTTAGTATCAGGCTCTTCCCAACAGCAATGTTTTTAATCTCAAAGTAGTGTCCGTAGATCTTTTGGCATTCCCTGAACACGCCGGAGCAGAGGGCGTTCTCGCTGAGTCTTTCGTGGCTGGTGCTGGTGCCGATCTCGTTTGTGAGGTTCAGCTCTGAAAGAAACGCCGCCTCAACGTAGTAATCTCTGTCTGCATAGAAGTCCAGGAAGTCGTCAGCAGAATGCTGCAGAGTCTTTAGATCTTCGCAGTTTGCAAAGAAGGCCCGTGTGCCCTCGTATATCCTCAGTATTGTTTCCTGGCCCGAGCTGATGAACCTGAGATGGGGCCCTGGGAGGAACTTCACACTGGTCATTGGAAACCCATGGATCTGTGCCCTTGCACACTCACGGCCCCTGTAGAACAGCCTTGTGGTTCTGTCCGACGAGCACGTGACCAGAAGATTCCTGTTCCAGTCCAGGTCGACCACTTCTCCCTGGTGGCCTGAAATGAAATACTCACACGTCCCCCCAGCACCTATCTTGTCCACCCCGCCCGACCTGGTCTGGACTATTAGCACACTGTCTAGAAACCCAACCGACAGCAGCTCAGAGGCTGCGCCAAGGATGTCTGAGCAGATGTAGAATCCGTGCTCGTTCCTCTCCCAAACACGGACGGTCTTGTCAGAAGATGCACTGTACAGCTTGTCCCCATGCCAGCACACGCCGTTAACCCAGTCCGAGTGCCCATTGAGTGTTTGAACCAGGCTAATATTCCCGCCTCGCAGCACCAGACCTTCACGTTTGAGTCCTGGGAGCAAGTGGCGACAAGAGTGCGGTGTGTTCTGATATTCTTGATGCAGTCCAGATGTGCATCGACCTGAGCAGTGTGTGCAAAGGCCTCGCCATCGAAGCTGTAGAGATGCAGCACTCCAAGGTTTGTGCCCACCAGCAGTGTCCTGCCAATGCATGCAACGGAGCTGATCATGAAGCCAACTTCTAAGGTGTGCTTCTCATGCGTTTGGCAGCTGACAATGTGGATGCGGTCAAATGTGCAGAACACGGCAAAGGAGTCGATGAAGCAGCAATCAAGTACCTTAGAGCCAACATTGATCATCCTTGTGTCTGCACCAACCACGACTGCATTTCCCGCAGTGTCGCCCAGTGCTGCCTTTCCCGAATGTCCTGCAACACAGCTGAGAGTGTTGTCAAAGTGGTGAATTTTGGAAATCGACTGGCTGTCAGAAACCACAAGATTGGAGGACGAGATGTAGTAGAGGCTGTCTTTGTCTACTGCGAGTGCCTTGTGGTGCGGAGTTACTCCAGCGAAGCTTTGTGCTATCTCGAGCATATCGGCCGACGGTAGAAAAGACATAAATAACGAAGAAAGCTAAAATTTAATTAAACAGCCTGCACTCATCCGTGCTACATGGGTAGTGAAGTACTGCAAGCTGACAATCTAGTTGCAGTCAGCCTGGGGCTGCATTGGCTGGAATCCGCACGTGTCAATCTTCGCAAAGAACAGCTGTGCGATTCGGGTGCCCTTTTCGAAGACAAAAATGTCGGGAGAGTGGTTGACGATGTTGATTGCAACCTCAGAGTCGTCCAAGACATACGAGTTCTCAATGTTGATTCCGTGCTTGAGGGCAAACCCAGACCTGCCACAGACATACCCAATCATGTCCGGAGGCATTTTCAAGGAAAAGCCCAGATTCAGAGTGACTGTTGTGTATGGCGGGACACTTCCTGGACACACCGAGTGCAGGTCATATCCGGCAGCACCGTCTGAGTGTCTCCTTGGACACACGGCATCCTTCTCGAGCGGTCTGAAAACCACCTGTGGCTCTCTCATTGGGCTTGAAAATTTTTGCAGCAAAACATTTAAAACAAGCATGTGCAGAGCCAGGCTCTGGACAGTGCATCAATATTTACAAACCATGTCCAACCGTATTTATTCACTTCAGCCCGGTAGATCCAAAGCCGTTATGTCCCCTCTCGGTTTCGTCAAGCTCTTCACACACGACAGGCTCGTCTTGTGCTACCCTCAACACGACAAACTTGGTAATCCTTGTGAGCGGGTCGAGCTCGATGTCGTTCTCCCCGAAGTTCACACACGTAAAAGACAGGTCCCCAGCACCAATGATTCTGCTTCTTGTCTCCACATTTCGATTTAGATTGGTTGGCGGATGTCCTAGAATCAGGACTGCCCTTTCCTTGAGTTCGGGGAATATTAGTCCCGAGGAGACAACGACAGGCTTGCCCCTTGGCAGTGCAGCTGTGTACACGTTGTACACGCAGTAGCCCCTGTCTGTGGTCCTCTCCTTGGCCGGCAGCTGTGCCCATTTTTCGCTTTTTTCCAACGGAACGGTCTCAGCCATTTGGGATGGACAAGAGAGACATTAAACATAAATTATTTAGCACAGCTCAACGCTTCTTGGATCTTTTATGTCTCTTCTTCTGCAAACACGCCTGGGTCGCACTCTTCTTTTTCATCTCACACTTCACAGCCTCCCTTTCCCTGTGTCTTCTCAGCTTGTCTTCCTGCCTCTTCAAATGCTCCAGCCTCTCTTTCTCTCCCGCTTCCTTTCTCTTCTGCTCTAT